CCTGCTTGAGGCTTCCTACCTGCTCAAGGGCTGCTCCTCGGCTGAAATTTAATGAAACTCCTGTCACCCCTTGCCGCCTCGTGAGGAGTCTACCTAAGCAGGCTTGGGCGACCGCAAGCGCGGTGTAAACAAGTAAGCAGAGGAAAAACAGTACAGACAGAAGTGTAAGCTGTCGTAGTCGTTTTCGTGGTCGTAGGCATAGTGGTAATCGAGGTAGTAACCCTGGTGGTAATCGTGGTAGTGGTAGTCGTGGTGGTGGTGGCGGTGGCGGTTGTGGTGATTGTACGTCTTGATGACCGGCTCTTTCGGGTATACCTCCGAGCTGACTTCCGTTGCTCCAGGCCTGTATATCCTTTGTCACAGCGTCTCTGGCATCCAACACCTCAAGGCCAGTGCTAAAAGAGAAGTAAGAGACTCAAGCCAATTTCGATCTCACTGCTCCAACCCTCAGTTGAAAAGTCTTTCAAAACCTCCAGGGTATCAATTTTGTCTTTGGAAAGAGTGTGGTATCTGCATTCTTCGATAGATGTTTAGTGGCTTACAGCTCCTGCAAATGGCCTCAAGCATCGAGGAGCTCTGAATGTATTTAGGATTTCGGATTGCTCTGCAAATCAATCGGAAATAATGTGAGAATCTATTTGTCTTCCTGCCACATCTATATATTCATTCTCGTGGTTTTATCGTGTTTCACTTGACCAATTCCTGGGAGAACCATGAAGAACCCAAGCCCTCTCACAGGGTGCAACCGAAGCCCCTGGTGATCAATCTCAATCCAAGAGCTGGGGAAACAAGACAAAAACATCGTCTCCAAAGTGGGTCAAAGCGCCTGGCCTAAAAACCCATCACTGGCAAAGCGGGACAAACCCATCACTGGGCGCCTGGCACTGGTCGGGGTGGCCGGATCCTCCAGACTCTGACCAGGGTGAATCTGATCTCGGTAGAGAGCTGCGGCACGATCCGCCAAGCATCCAGCGGGCAAGCCACGCGTCACAAGCGTTTTGAGGTGCCAACCGTCGATGGCAACGAGGTCCTGAAGCAAGCAGAATTGCCCAAAGGAGTTCTTAGATCCTGGATGCACACTTTCTTCGGATAGTGGGCCCAGAATCTTGAACGACAATTGACAATAGCAATCCCTGTGGAAGAAACATGTCAAATGCCCTATCTTTTATCCTTGTGGGGATCATGTACAATATTTGGGCCATGAGGCCTTGCGCCAGGAGCTCTCAACCACTTTGATACCCCCCAATCCCTTCTGCTTCACCAGTCCTGTATCGGCTTCGTCACAACCTCATCCCCAGCATCCAGCACCTCGTCTTGGCAGGAAGAAGCGGCCGTGTTCTGAGCATACAAAGCATGAAGCTCTTCTTCTGAAAGCCTTGCGGTTGCTTCATCTACAAGAATCTACAAGTATACTGGGACACCAGAGCGGTGACAGCTCCAGAGCACATCTGGACATCCCTACTGGTGTCCATCCAAGCAGCAAATACAACAACTATATATATTACCTATATGTAATCATGCGGTGCACTGAGATATCCGAATTTCCAGCAGCCTCAAGTGTCAGGGAGCTGCTCCTGGCAATTGAGGCGGCAGGTGCACCAAGCAACTCGAGCAAGGACGGATACAACGTCAACACCCCAAATATATACAGAGCTCCAACTGCGAGACATAATCCCTGCAAAAGAGAAAACCTAGGCCCTGCAAGTATCTGGGACAGAATCTGTTGCAGGACAGCTTACAAGACCGTCCTAGATCCAATGCTGACAATGATGCCAGAGACCAACTCAGCCTTGGCAGTATATCAACTGAGAAAGATCAGAAAGCGGCAACTTGCAATTTGCACCTGTACGTATCTTGCCAAAAGCAGAGCAGAGCCTGCACTCTCTAAGCTGTATTTGAGGCCCTCTACCCCTATGCCATCAGCAGTTGTATCAACCTTGCAGTTTGACGAATTTGTACATGACATTGCTTGCATTCAGATGGAAGTAGAATCTGATCCATTCCATCATTCACCTGAGACACAACCATACAGGTGTGCCCTTAAATGCTCTTGCCTCGAATGAATCGACGGTTGCAGCTGATGAAGGAGTCGCCTCGCTACACCATCAAAGAACTTCCATTAGCCTGCGACGCATGTGTGTCCATATTTTGTCCTGTTCTTGACTGCAGTGGTTGATTCGATTTTGCCCACAATTGACATGATCCTTGACATGAACCTTTTTTTGCAATGACCAGAATCTTCCGAGACGTTTTCAGCCCACGAGGCTCCAGCACAATGACGTTCGGAGGGGGAGACCGGGACATCCAGGTTCTGACCCCGAGAGATTGGACCTCAGCATGCAAGGGCCTTTTTTGTCCCTCCCGTGTTGTCGAGCCACCATCACTCGGGTTCCCAGCCATCCGTGGCAACTGATGCAACTGATTCCTGAAACGGTCAGCGCTGCTGGAGTGATAAATGATGGAGTTAGTCTGAGTTAGTCCTCAACCACTTTGACAAGCGTTTCAAGTGCAGCTTGCTACCAGCCGGACCTCGTCCTCTTTTGGCTTCGTGATCGCGACATCTCTGGCATCGATTACCTGAGCAAGCTCATGATCTTCAAACTCAAGAAAGAAGCGGCCCGAAGTTTGCAAGAATCGGCGGCTACCTGTAATGAAACCTGTCCAGGTCTATGCTTATCAGATCAGTATCAGTATGAAAGTAAATGCCGGCACATAGAGACCCACTATGTTTGTTTAAGAGTTTTTGTGTTTTGAACAGTTTCACAACGGCTTTCGTTGCATATTGGTTCTAAGTTCTACATGCTTCCAGCCACCTACATGTTCTCACAAAGGTAACTTTGTAAGATGGGCAGGGCACTTCCGGCTGGAGGGGGCTGCTAATGTATTGGTTTGTGCCTTCAGCAAGTTAAAAACCAACAATAAAAGTGTTTCTTTCCGCAAGCTCTTCTTTCAGTGCAAACGGAACGGCTTGGAATGCCATGCACCATTGTGGCTGCTTGAACCAAACGTAGAGGTCGAAATGAGGCATCATCTAGGGCAACGGCTTCTTCAGTCTCTGGCACCGTATCCTTTACATCCACTTCGACAGTCTCCTCCCAATCCGAAGATGTGCGTACATTGTTTAGACTACTGTATATATTACGTACAATAGGACTTGATACACACCTGTCAGTGCTGGGAGCTGAAGGTAGAGACTGAAGGTAAGAGTTAAGAACGAGTTAGATTAAGACTTAAGTCGTACCTTGACTCCTTTTTTGAAGGAGTGACAGGCTTTGTCTACTGCAGAGAACCAATATGGACTATGTCTCGAAAGGTGCAAACTTCGCATACGGTACATGACTCGTGGAAGCTCCTGCCGGATCTCGGCGGATTCGTCACGAGCCTGGCAAGTAAGAAACGCCCGACACACACATCAACAAACTGTCCACTCACACAGCACTCTGTTATGCGAAGTCGCCGCAACACATCTACTTGCCTGGACTGAAGTCGCCACGTCCTCCACGCCTGACCATCAAACACCCCTAAAATTGAATTCCTACCGGAGAAGAAAGCAATCGTGCTTAACTGTGGTCCGTATAGGAATCCGCCGACCCCGGCCGACGCAAGGGGGAGCGCGCCAGGGAATAATGAGAGATCCGCCAGAACTCAATGGGTTAAAGCCGTGGCGGAGGGGTGGTTTCAGATGCTTTTGGGAGGCTGGAAAGCTTTTGGCAGGCTGTTGGTGGAAGCTTTTTGGGAGGCTGGTTAGTGGTGGAAAATGCTAGCAAATTGTCTATTCTCTAGGGATCCAGAGCGTCCGTTTGACATCGAACGTCCGAGGAATTGGGGCTCGTTTGGAGCAGAACTCAATGGGTTAAAGCCGTGGCGAAGGGGTGGTTTCAGATGCTTTTGGGAGGCTGGAAAGCTTTTGGCAGGCTGTTGGTGGAAGCTTTTTGGGAGGCTGGTTATTGGGAGGCTGGTTAGTGGTGGAAAATGCTAGCAAATTGTCTTTTTT